TTGGCTTTGACCCCCGACAGAGGTGGGCGCGGCCGTCCTCTTGCAGATGTGGAGGCCAGGCGGGGTCTTGGGGGTCTCCGCAAAGCGGGGTGCCTGTGGGCCCGAGCCGGGTCTTCCTTCTTCCCTTTCATACCAGACTCTCCAGCCTGGGAAGGGGCCCAGATGGAGGGGACAGGGCTTGGAGCCGAGCTTGTGCCCTGTTCGCTGCTGCCTGCCCCCAACTCCAGCGCTGGGTGCCTGGGTGGAAGCCCACCCACCCCTCCCTTTCCACACATCCAGCCCCGCCCCGGGGGTTCTGGTGTTGGGGGCCAATCCAGCCACGATGAGGGGGCCCTGAGTCCAGCCTGGCAGCCTCGCGTGAGCCCGGGCCTTGGGAGGGTGTTGGGAAGAGCTGTGTGACTGCCCCGGGTGCCCCGTGGATGCTGGCATTAGAAGGTGACCTGGCGTCCCTGGCTTCCTGCTGGCCCGGGGCTAGGTAGGCAGCTGTGTGTCCCTTGAGCCTCAGTGAACTCTCCCTGGACCCTGTGCTTCTCAGACTGTAGAAAGACACCCCCTTCTCCTGGCCTCTGAGCAGCGAGAGGAAAGAAAGCTTCCTTCATGCAGGCCAGGGCATCTTCTCCAGGCTGGGCTGGAACTTGAAGTTCTCCTGCCTCAGCCTCCCGGAGTCCTGGGAGTATACCGCCGGCGGCTGGACCTCTGACTTCTCACCTATAAAACACACATGCCCCGGCCCGCGCAGGCAGGTGAGGCCCAGTCCAAGAATATCTTTGTTATAAATGTCCACGCCCAGGACAGGGTGGGTCCCTTGTCTTGGCCAGAGCCAGACCTGGAGGGGCCGGCTTCCTCACACTCAAACTTTATTACCCATGTCCCTGTCAATAAAACGTGTGGCAGCCACTGTGACACCTATTTGTTCATAAATGATACGCAAAGAATCTTAGAAAGCGCATGCACGGGCCACATATGTGAATATATATCAGTACTCACGTTATAAAAAGATACCTACCTCACGAACCCTGTTATGCACATTCTACACGGATGCATAAACAACACCGACGATGTTATTATAAAACTACAACTAGAAATGAAGGGATAGCAGGGCCACGAGATGAGCAACACTTAGAAGTCATTTTTATGGTGTTCCATTTGGTAAACACCCATTTTTGCTCTCACTCGGAGATTGAATGTGCTTGTTTTTTATTTATTTATTTAGTTAGTTAGTTTTGTTTTTTTGAGACAGGGTCTCACTATGTAGTTTGAGACTGACCTGGAACTCACTATGTAGCCCAGGCTGGTCTCAAACTCACAGTGATCCTCCTGCCTCACCCTCCCGAGTGCTGGGATTACAGGCGTGCGCCACCACACCCGGCTCTGTGTTTGTTTATTTTTGAAAATCCTGGGTTGACACTCTGCAGGACAGTGATCTGCTCATTTAATTTAATTTTTATTTTCTTGGTACCTGGGATCGAACTCGGGACCTTGTGCTTGCCAGGCAGGCGTCAGAACCACTGAGCTAAATCCCCGGCCCTGCTCATTTCATTTTAAATCTGGTGTATTCCTCGGGTTAATGGCTGTCACAGCTGAGAAGGGCGTCGCGGAGACACCTAGATTCAGACAGCCAGAACGCACTGTGGGCTCAGCTCATCAAATCGTGATGCTGATTTTCAGTTTTCAGTTTCATCCAACAATTACACAAAGATTTTGTTCAGAATTGGCTTACAAACTTCCATCTTCCCACACGTCACTCAGTTCTTGCAAAGAAATTGGAAAATATTGCATTCTAATACTTTCAGTGAATGGATTTAAAACCCAAACACTTCATGTAGAAGATTTTTAGGCAAATTAAAATGTTCTTTTTTGGTTTGTTATTTGAAGAGCAGATAAGAAAGAATCTTGGGAGCACACTTTTTTTTTTTTTTTTTTTTTTTTTTAGACAAAATCATGTAACAATGGAATCACTTTGAAACTTTATTTCCAAATGCTCTCTCTTTCTATTTTCCTTGCCAAGGAGCTACTGCCTTGATAATTTCACCTCTATCCTGATGAAGAGAGACTTCATTTTTGGAAATGTCCCTGGTAGCACTCAAGAGACAGAACTTATGAATTTGTTTTTCCTTTACGATTCACCTGATGAAACTGTCTTCCGGTTGGGGGAAGCTGCCCTTTTTCTGTTGTTTCATCGCAGACTTAGGCAAAGTGTCCCTTTGTCCTTCCTTCCCTCCTCCCTCCCTCTTTTGCTGTACCCGTGTGAGAATCTGAGACCTCACGCCGAACTTCATCCCCAGTCCTTTTTATTTATTTATTTGTTTGTTTGTTTTTTAAAAAAATTTGACACAGGGACTCACTAAGTCACCCAGGCTGGCCTTGAACTTGTGATCCTCCTGCCTCATCTTCCTGATTTGGCCGGGATTACAAGTGTGCACCATTAGTCAGCAAGTTGTCCTTTTTATTTTTAGTTTTTATTTATTTTTTGGTACTGGGGATCGAACTCAGGACCTTGCGCTTGTGAGGCAGGTGGCGGAACCACTGAGCCAAATCCCTGGCCCAAATTGTCCTTTTTAAAAGAAGGTTAATTTAGTTTGAATCATCCGTTATAAACTGTAGTGTCTGTGGCGGGATGTGTAGATGTCCCTCGTGTCCCTTGTTGGTGACTGGGGGAGGGGGGTCCCCCAACATCCTCTGCCTCCTGTAGCACCCTTGCCCCTTCCGGAAACTGACTGATTCCCACAAGGGCCCGAGACTGGCTAACAATCAGAAGCAGGGAGGAAGCCTGGATTGGTCTGGATGTTACATTTAGACCCTGATTGCTTCCTTACTTTTAGTTAGAAAATTCACATGTGCTGGGAGTGGTGCCTCATGCCTGTAATCCCAGCACTTGGGAGGCTGAGGCAGGAAGATCACAGTGAGTTCAAGACCATAGTGAGACTGTGTCTCAACAAACAGGAAAGAAAAGAAAAGAAATGCATATGTTTTGCAATCCAGAATTTCCTTCACATCCCATGCAACCTTACTTGGAGGTTGAATCTTGCTGGATGGACCCCATTGCCCGCTGTGTGACTTCAGCCTGAAACCCAGGTTTTCACCAGGCTGGGTGTGGAGGGGGTGCAGGTGACCCCTCCGTCAGCCCATCTCCATGGGTGCCGCTCAGCCCGGCAGCCCCAGAAAGGTCTGCATCGCTGTGGCCCTTCTGGACCAAAGTGTGTGTGTGTGTGTGTGTGTGTGTGTGTGTGTGTGTG